AGTTAGTTTTTGTCTTTTTTCCAAAACCGATTAATTTCCTATCTGAAATAATATTAAACTAGCTTGCTGCAATTTTCAAGTAAAAAAACCCAATTTGATAAACCTCTGTGGGGTCGATAGTTTCTACTCTGCACTGTGCATAGTGTAGTCGCCCACCACACAGCTTAGGCCAAAAACGAGGACTGTAATTGACCGTGTGAGGAATAATGTGTCCGTCTTGCAACCATGTCAACCATGTACGCCTTCATGATTGGTGTGCGGTTAGATGCGCACTAGTATTTAACGGCTAACCGACCACTTTTTGGGCTCTTCTTTTAGAATTTTGGTGGTCTATGTGGGCGTCGTAATGGAAGAGATGCGTACCTCTTAGTTGGTCACCATCTGCTAGAAGGAAAGGTTAGAATTTGGATATTTTTAAAATCTATTTCCAATATGTCATATGACAGTTTTTATTGTCTTACTTCCAAGGCCCACTGTTGCTTTAAAGTCGGAGCTCGCAAAACCAATCCTTGTCGTCCAACGTCTGACAAGGATCCTCCGAGGAGCGTTCGATGACCATTGATGCTGTCATAAAACGCTGATTGGTGTTCAACAACCAAAACCTTTGTTACGCGAATATCTTCTTGTTGATCATTGTAGATAAAAACTCTATGCAGAATAAGAACATATTTTATCACGAAGATTAAATGATTGAATTAAGTAAAAATTGGTCTTTGGGGTCACCAATGTTGTTGAGATCTCATCGACTACTCTTCGGAAGCAAGCGAACATTAAATCGATCATTAGGTAAATGTGAAGGAAATTCAGAAAAAAAATTACGTTTAAACGTTCTCACAAACCTGTGCAACATTGTGAATCAAAGCAAGATAAAGGTTTGCATTGCCAGAACCAGCCACGATCCACATATGCCACATGACTGGCATCAATACGATACAAGTCACGACGGTACTTCTACAATAGAGTAGCGAAGACATATTCCGATAACCTGGATAAATCAACAATACAAAAAGAATGTAAGTTTGAACGCTCTTTAATTTTGGCAACTCGCATTCTTATTACTAGTTAACTGCATAAGTTATAGGGCGTTTTAGTGATATTACGCGATTGTGGTACTATTTGATATCATGAAAAATTTGTGTTGGTGCATACTTAGTCACACGTTCAGAGAATACATGTGAACTATCTATTAATTTAAAAGGCACACAGAACAACGAAGGCAAAGAAGCCACCGCTATTGTCAGTACGTCAGAGGAGCCAATAGCAATGTTTGACAAATCATATTCTAAGAATTTTAAACATTTTTTCAGGGGCGGTAGTAATCTAGCCGAAACGGGGGCGCTTGGTTGAGAGTTGGCTGCGAGTTTGCTCGCTGTTAATGCCCATCTAACTCGGAGTGTAGAATGGACGAGCACGTCTTGACATAGCTTTAGATGGGGAAAAGTGAACTTGGTGGGATGTCAGTAATGGAGTAATATATAGTTGACAGGAGAACGATGTGAAAAAAGAGTTACATAAGAAGTTATGCCCTCAAATAACCAGCAACCTTTTAGTTATATCGCACTAATCTGCTAGTTTCATTGGCCATTGAAGAGGGATTCGTAGGTGCAAGTTAACCGCGAGTTAGGCGGATGCGATGAGATAGTGTGGGAATGGAGAAAAGCAGGTGTAGAGGTGCTCATTTCGTTCAAAAGTCCTATGGAGGACTTTTTGCTCCTGGTTATAGCCAGCGCAAAGGGAGCTGACGCATGCCAGGATAGGCAGTTGGTCCGCCAATAGGGCATAGGATACCACCGGCTGGGAGACTGACGTATTTTAAGATAGGCACCTGGTGCGCGAATGACTTTGCCGCCTTGGGCTAGGAGGCTGACGCATTTTAAAACAGGCGACTGATCCGCGAAGAGGCACCGTCGCTGCCATTGCTATCGGAAAATTCAAATAATGCTTT